TTACCTTCAAACTGATCCCTCTTTGAGACATCACAAGGAACAAACAATACTTGCTTTTGGCTGAACATATTCTGAAAGACTTTGGTCTGGTTTTGCCCTTCATGCTTGTTAATATCCAAAATACAAACCTGCATTTTTATAACAAAGAAATGCATTCAAGATCAGCTGCATAAAGCATAATATATCAGAGATTATGCAGTTTCAGGGCAACATGTTTGTTCAGGCCGAGCCAACACAAAAATTTGCAAATTGATTTACCGACTCACATTTGCTCCTCGAACAAGCAATGCTTTGCATATTTCTTTGCCTATTCCTTGAGCTCCACCAGTAACTACGGCTACTTTTCCTGCTATTTTCATGACTTTCGATGAAGTTTGCAAYTTTCACAGGAGGCTCGAAATCGCTCGAAATGGGATCATTGCCTKATTTCATACCGTGGGAGACTGGGTACAAGTCCCGTATATTTCCCGCATTAGTTTCCAATTCACTAGGTTTTCTTTGTTATTCATAGGGTTGTATATACCATAGAAACTTAAAGCCGGGGAGGGATTTGATATTCAGCAGGGAAATGTGGAGTTGATGAATTGAATTGAATAGCTCGTTATAAATTCAGCGGGCTATATTTGAGTGACCGGAATCACTCACATATAGCCCGCTGAATTTATAACGAGTTATTCAATTTAATTCATCAACCCCACATTTCCCTGCWGAACATCAAATAAACTAAGTAAACTAAACTATTTTTCCCCTAAAAAAGACCAGTGCGGCCAGCAAAACTTGAGGAGATCTAGATTTAGAGTGTAATAAGTTCGAGTCCAGCAGCTATGTTCGTCAGAGAATAGAGACAACAATAACCAAGATCTTCGCCGTTACTTTTAAAAGAATCTATTTATGAATCAGAAGTAATCGGTGTGACTTGGTCCATTCTATCCAAGCACATACACACGGCCATTTTGGTACTTTAGTTTGTTCCTTCTTGAATCCTTCCCTCGTATTTTTTCGAGCGAGTTCAACATCAAAAACTATTGTAATTTTTCTCATTTTTTCCCATCTGCAGACGTTATGTAAGAGTTAGTTACCGAGAACGGAGGCATTACGCTATATACAGCCCGAGGGCCGCAGGTAACTAACAAACTTAGTTTTCAATTCACGTGGTTTTCGCAAAAACTGAATAGTCTAAATGAATGTTTTCTTAGTTGGGATTCGAACAATAGAATCCTCTTCTCTTGAGACTTTTTCATGGACTATTGAAATTAGTTTCCTTTAAGAAAACCTGTTCATGCAAAAGCTAGCAATCGGAATTTGAATATTGTTATCAAATATTCTGAACAGTCATTCTGGAAACGATGTCGAACAGTGACGATTTGTTTATAGCTCAAAATACGTTTGACATCATTCCTTTGCCGCCGAACTTTAATTTTGACATTTGCTATCAGACTTGGAACTCCGCATGCCTCTGCCCGCAAATAACGATGACAAAGTCTGCAGATAGGAAAAATGAGAAAAATTACAATAGTTTTTGATGTTGAACTCGCTCGAAAAAGGATTCAAGAAGGAACAAACTAAAGTACCAAATGGCCGTGTGTACGTGCCGGCTTGGATAGAATGGACCGAGGAGCGGAGAAATACGAGTCAAACCGATTACTTCTGATTCATACACGTTGGTTAATTCCGAAGAATAGATTATCAGGATTATAGTTTCAAAAGTAACGAAGATCTTGGTTATTGTTGTCTCTATTCTCTGATGAACATATGAAGAAAAGCTGCGGGACTCGAACTTATTACACTCTAAATCTCCTCAAGTTTTTCTGGCCGCACTGGTCTTTTTAGGGGAAAAATAGTTTAGTTTACTTAGTTTATTTGATATTCAGCAGGGAAATGTGGGGTTGATGAATTGAACTGAATAACTCGTTATAAATTCAGCGGGCTATATATGAGTCGTGATCCCGGTCACTCAAATATAGCCCGCTGAATTTATAACGAGCTATTCAATTCAATTCATCAACCCCATATTTCCCTGCTGAATATCAAATCCCTCCCCGGCTTTAAGTTTCTATGGTATATACAACCCTATGAATAACAAAGAAAACCTAGTGAATTGGAAACTAATTGCGGGAAGAAGCATGCGGAGTTCCAAATCCGATAGCAAATCGTCAATATCAAAGTTCGGCAAASGAATGATGTCAAACGTATTTTGAGCTATAAACAAATCGTTGTCACTGTTCGACATCGTTTCCAGAATGACTGTTAAGAATATTTGATAACAATATTCAAATTTCGATTGCTCGCTTTCGCATGAACAGGCTTTCTTAAATTTCAACAGTCCATGAAAAAGTCTCAAGAGAAGAGGATTCTATTGTTCGAAACACAACAAAGAAAACATTCATTAAGTCTATTCAGTTTTTGCGAAAACCACGTGAATTGAAAAGCAAGTTTGTTAGTTACCTCGCACGTCGGCCCTCGGGCTGTATATAGCGTAATGCCTCCGTTCTCGGTAACTAACTCTTACTTAAAATACGCCTTTTTCCCGTTCAAAGCCATCAACCACTTTTTTAGTTGACTCAATGGTACTGACTTATTCTGAAAAAAAACAACAACTAGAATATTATTCATCCGTAATTTTCCTGAGCTAGCCCGTTTGTTATTTGACTGTTGAATTAGTCAATCAGGTGTGGCTTGTCATCCTTGGGTTTCCCAGGCACTCTTAATTTCGGCAAAAAGGTGATAACGGTTTGGGTACGAGAATGATTCGAAGATGAAAAGGATCTTGCTACAAGAAGGAATTTTTCTTTCCCAGCARCTTGCAATAGAATCAAGATACTGGACATTTGAAACATCGCATGTACTCCAACAGCGTGCGTGACCTGAGGAATGAGAGAATAAATGGCCTTAAGGGGGATTTATTTATTACAAACAACACTGGAAATGATAGTAAACAGTTAACATTTTATGCTCAAAGGAGGGGCTACACATTTGCCCCCCCCCCCTCTCCCTTGGTCCGCCCTTGGATGATGTGATGAATGCAATTTGTGGCGTTGCAAATTGCTGTAATGTGTTGCCAAAAATAGACCTGCTTCTACTCAAGAAATGCTACGAGAAACAAAAAATGCTGCCAAGACGACCCCTGTTGCAGGGTCTGAATGGGGGGTAACAATGTCGGTTGTCAGTTAAAATTTCAAGCATTTGTCGGTAATCAAAATCTAGCCATTTGTCGGTAGTAGAGTAGCCAATAAAAAATTCAAGAAGCCAATTCGAAGCAAAATTTATTTTTCCACAGAAAACTACGAATGTAGTTGCTTGAAAAATACAAAAAAATTGTATTCAAGAAGCTAACATCTTTGAATATTGCTTAAAAATATTTATTTTTAGAAAAATGTCGCCAGTCAGTAAATATGTTCTTGTCGGTAGTCAGTAAATTTTGTTCAAATTTGTCGCTAGTCAGTTGTTATTTTGTCAATTTGTCGGCGCTAGTCGCGGCTAACCCCATTCGGACCCTGATGTTACACTATGCAATTTCCTCATCAACTTGTGTCTCATGAACGGTGTTGCGAAATACATTTCACAGTGTAACAATGTTTGGTGCTTACTTTTTCSTAGTCTCCTCTCACATGAGAACGAGGCAAAATAACGGTTGTGGGGGGAGGGCTAACTCTTCTATTTACTCGTTGATACAGCCGCGCCTCTTTCAACCTGGACAATCAGATGTTCTGTTCCCCAAATAACTCAAAGTTTTAAGACTTTAAAACAGAATGAACGGGTCTCGAGCTGTGTGCAAAGCCCAGTATGTGTGATAAGGTTTTCCGTTACTTCTCTTGACATCAAATCATGTGATGAAAACCGACAGGACTGAAAATGACGTTATCGTAGCTAAAATCTTCTTTAGAGATTTATAAGCACTATTCAACTAATAGTAACTTACTGGAGTTCCGTAGAGGACCATTAAAAGTGTTTACCATAAGATTAGCAGAGCTGAAAAGTGTAAAGGCCTAAACCGAGTGCACTAAAYAGCGCACGTGGTCGGATATGCGGCGAAATGACAGGATCCGGTTTAATTAAAATATATTAATTGAATTTGAAGTCATATACAAATATTTACAAACAATTCAAATGCTAGTTTCATTCAACAATACAGAAAATAAACCAACAAAACTTACAAGCGGGACCGATAATTCTCGAGACTACTTCTTGACCGATTCAATGTTACTCATGCATAAGATATTTCAGCCATTTTTCCAATAAAAGCTGTTTTACATAAATATCCAATGTACAAACACGTACTCAGTCTCGCCTAAGTTCATTAGATAGGTGACGAATCCCTGATGCATCCTGGCAAAATGAATTTTCAGTCAAAAAATGTCTGGCTTCATTTAGACGCTAAGGGGCGATGCATTAGAATTTTGAAGGAGGGGGAAGGGGGGGGGGGGGGGGGGGGGGGGGGGGGGGGGGTTGGAAGATTCTGTCCGTGCAAGAATCTTTTTTTTTATTTTCTTTACTTCAGATGGTAATAACAAGAACCTATTTTCATTATATTGACACTGCAGTTATTTTCTGATATAAGCACATTACAGCTGTTGTTGGACGCTTTAAAATAACAATACCAATTTCGAAGCTATCATGGGATTTAATTTTTGGTGCTATTCTATAAGAACAATGCACGGTCCCATAATTCAATTTTTCTTGGAGCTATGTTACGTTTAGTCATCACGTGATCACTGTGTTCCTTACGCTGCGTTCTATTGTGTTTGTATTGGTGGTGGTGGTCAGTGTTTACATTTTGACAAATCTGCATATAGCCAGAAATTGGATTTGATCAAGCCACAAGAAACCTTAAATTACAATACTCCAAAAAATAAAAGAGCTCATGACGTTTAGCAATTTCTGAAAATTTGAAATCCAGTCGGTTTGAAWTCCCAGTTGGTTTATCTTACTCTATTAAATAAAATAACGAATAGATAAATAAAGAAAAAAGTAGGAAAAAGAGCAAAGATTTTTCCAAAGAATTACATTATTTTCGTGGAGAMAAGGTGTGCTCTGACAATCGAAGTTACGTAAAGCATTTTTTCTTTTCTTTTTATTTAAGTGTGTGAAAAAAATCTACAGTTTAAAAAAGTAAAGCATTATTAAGCAAAGAGCTTTTTCGTCGTTTAAAAATTCATTAAGTGTACTCGGAGATGATATCACCATGGAAACTATTTGTAAATAAAAACGGAAAGTAATGTGGTTGTATATTTTGAAATAGATATGAAACAATTATTCCATTTTGGTATCGTGAAGAATTGCACATACATCGCCATATCAAGTGTAAATTCACACTGGCCTCAAGTCAAAATTGCGTTTATTTTTAGGCAAAAAATCGTTATCGTCAAGTCTATTTGTTGTGGGTTTTTAAGCTAACTGTTGTTGAAAAATTTCAGCCGTTATATTAGAAGGCAAGTGAACGTTGACATAGAGGATTAAAGCCGGCACTGCTACTGAATGCAAGGTTATAACAGACTTGCCGATGATCAGAATCTTATCACTGCACTGCGTGGTCGGCACTCGATCATTTCTTTATTTACACCATAAAAAATTAAACTTATGAATTCAAATTCAACATTGATTCCTATAATCCTTTTTCATAAACTCTTTAGTAAATATTTTTTGGTTTACTTGGCAGAAAATCACAATCAAACGTTGCGCCATAAATAAMACGCTCCTGTTTTGATATGGAGGAAGTTTGTCGTTTTAGGCGATGGGTGATCAATGTGTTCAATAAAAAGAGGTTTTGCGGTCATAAAGAGCTGAACTTCCGTCCAGTCTCGTCACATAAGCACAGCAATTAATTCAAAGACTTCAAAAACATATGAGACTTTCTCGACGATAACAATGACATGTATTTAGACCTCCACGAGGGGTACTAGTTACGATAAAAAATGCTCATTTTTTAAGAGCTCGCAGCCATTAGGAAAAACTACCAACCAACAAACATCAAGGCCTGCAGGCAATTAGACCGTATCGATATGATGCAAGCATGTATTAACCATCGCTTGTACGTCACAGTTCTCTCTAGTCTATCATGATTATCATAAGTTTGCAAAGAACTTTGTGTGAACGTTTTGCATAATCTCTCATATTTTTCAATCTACAAATTAAAATGGCACACACACCAGTGATATCTGGCTGTCAATAGCCAGGTATTCTGTGATTAGTACTATAGCGAACATATTATAATCATAAAAACAAAAAGATGACAAAAGAGTTTTCATTATCATACGACATGCTTTCTCTCACTTTGTCGAAAAAGATTAACAAAACTACTTGATAAAGACAACAAACTGCATCAAATGTTTTAATCTTGATAATTTCCAGGCTCGTTATGAAGCGGTTTTCTCAATAACCTGTAAAAACAAATGATTTAAATGATCAATGTAAACTGAATGACCTAATTAGCGTCTTAACATCCATCCATTTGTTTTATTGATGACGTTTTGTGTTCTTAAGCTGTTGTTTCTTCCGTTAGCTTGCATCGGCAATAGGGCGGCTATATAGTTTATTATTTTGTATTCTGACATATATGATATCCACACGTATATAAAACCCACTGCTGGTTGACCTACATTCACAGGACACATCATCAACATGAAACACTCCACAGTGCTTGCTATTGCTGTCTTAACGGTTTTGACAATAATTCCGTTTTCTCAGGGACAGGGTACAGCTGGCCTTGGTATCTTGCGCGAAGCGAAAGGACACGATAATCTACAGGTTTGTTTCAGAAGACRCAGAGTTAATTAGTTCGCATAAACTTGATTCAAGTAGACTAAGAATTAATTTGTTTAGTTTTGTGTATACAGTAAAAGGCTTATACCGTCCAATGTTTCATCTCTCAGGTCAAACGTAGTTAATGGAATAATGTGTATTTTGATACCGGGATATTCAAAGATGTTCAAAACAGGAATGATGTTACAAACAATCAGTCGTAAATGAATATTTTGATTTGAAAAACACTTAACATTTTCAGGAAACCGTTGTATTGGCTTAGTGTACTTTATGTCGAATCCAGGATTTTT